TGCGGAAGGGGAGGATATTGTTGAGGGATAGGAGGTGGAGGGAAAGAGGAGGAAGAGGAGGAGGACGAGGAGGAGGAGGAGGAGGAGGAGGAGGAGGAGGGAGGAGGAGGAGGAGGAGAGGAGGAGGAGCAGGAGGATTCAGATGAGAAGGAACATGTGGAGGGAGAGGATGTGGACGAGAGACATGAGGTGGAGGGAAGGATGATGCTGCTGCTGCTGATGATGATGATGACGATGATGATTATGATGCTGATGGCGATGGTGATGATTATGTCGATTATGCTGATGATTCTGATAATGGTGATGGTGATGATGGTTATGCTGATGCTGATGCTGCTTATGATGATGCTGCTGATGATGATGCTGCTGATGATGATGATGATGCTGATGATGATGATGATGAGGATGATGATGAGAAAAAGGGGGAGGAGGAGGAGGATGAGGAGGAGGAGGAGGAGGAGGAGAGGAGGAGGAGGAGGAGGAGGAGGAGGAGGAGGAGGAGGAGGAGGAGCAGAGAGATCTGCTTAGGGAGTCTGGAGAGTTCCCAGAGGAGAAGGATGAGAAGGAGCAGGGGACTCGTCAGCGATAGCTCATAGGAGCCTAGCCTGCATGGCCCTGACGGGTGGGAGTGCCTGGCGTGACCGGCGTGGCCCGACATTTGGAAGGTGGGAGAGGAGGAGAGAGCTGGGAGAGGTGGGAGGTGGGGTGAGGAACCTCGTAGAGCCCTTGCACGCGTAAGAGTGCTCAGCATGAAAAGAGAGGGCTTCTGGAAGCATTTCTCGAAAAAGAGAAAACATGATTTTTTTTCATGTCGACATGAAGTTGGTTCCGCCAAGTGTTTTGATAGTAAAAGTACACCTAGAGAGCTCATATTATGACGCAGAGGCCCTCATAGTCGTCCACAGGTGCGAAAAATCTGCTTTCTCAAAATAAATGGTCAAATATCTTTCAAATATTCGCAAAACCACCCCAAAGTTGTCACTTTGTCCTTTCTGGTCGGGTCGACCAACTAGCTCCACCCCGCGCCGGAATTCCTCTAGCTCCGGGTGGGGTGAGGAACGAGGTGGGAGAGGAGGATATATGGTACGAGAGCACGTTGGTTTGATGTGTTTTCGGCACGGGTCTTGGTCGGGAAGAGTGTCTTCGGTATTCTGGGTGGAGAGGATGGCGGAGGCAGAGGAGGGAGTGGAGGAGGGGAACGGAATGCCATCATACGACTGATAATTAGAAAAAGGGAGGAGAAGGGAGGAGGCGGAAGGAGGCAAGAGGGGCAGGGGGGATGGGGGAGGCAGGAGCGCCCCGTCCCCTTCCCCTCCTTCTCCGTGGCCCATGGCTCGTCCCCTTCGGGAGGAGGATGAGGAGGAGAAGGAGGAGGAGGACGACGAGGAGGATGAGGAGGATGAGGAGGAGGAGGAGGAGGACGGCAGTTGTGCGTGTGCATGTGTGCATGTGTGTGTGTGTGTGTGTGTGTGCATGTGTGCATGTGGTGGCCTCGGCGGCTTTCTGGCACTTCTTCGACTCCCTCCGCAGTGTCGCTGCAAGCGTGGCCGCGACGCCACAAGTGTGTGTGTGTGTGTGTGTGTGTGTGTGTGTGTGTGTGTGTGTGTGTGTATGTGTATACTCGCTTCTCGTAGCACGTTTCCCGCCCTCTTCCTCATCGCGCCTCCCTCGGTTCGCCCGAGACGATCTCACCGACAACGCTGTCGGTGGCGGGCGTTGGCGCGCCGCCTCACCCCGGCGCGTCCTCTTGCCAGTCTCCACGTGTCCTCGCTTGGCACTTCCCCGCACGCCTGCTGTCGCGTCGGCCGCCCGCCTCGACGCATGCTGTCGCGGCGCGCCTCCGCCCTCGGTGGCCCACTTGGCCGCCGCCGCTCCCCGCCGCCCCCCCGCCTGGCGCTCGCAATGCCGGCCCCCCGCCCGCTGCCCGCTGCCCGCTGCTGCCCTCCCCCGCCCCGCCGCCGGCTCCCCGGCGCGGCCGCTGCTCCCCTGGCCGCCGCCGGGGCCCCGTGATGGCCCGGCCTATCCTGCATGCTTGGCCAGCGCCCGCGCGCAGACCTGCCGCTCGGCCTGGAGCTCGGCCAGGCCTGCGAACGCCCAACGTGTGTGTGTGTGTGTGTGTGTGTGTGTGTGTGTGTGTGTCTGTGTGTGTGTGTGTGTCTGTGTGTGTGTGTGTTTGTGCGTATACGCACGGGTTTTTCGGGGTCTTCACGCATGCACGTGCACGGCCTCGGCACCAGTCTCTGTATCCATGAACGGTTTGTCGGCCCACGTTCGGTGGTAATCAGGGTAGCGCATCCCGCCACTGCTCGCTGTATTGAGCCAACCGACCGCGTCGGGAAAACATATATATATGTATATATGTATAGTTGAATATACACAGTTGTGTCTACCTGTGTGTATATGGATATATGTGGGCGGGGGGGGGGCGGGCGCTGCGTGAGCTGACCCAGCCTGCGCGCTACAACCTGCCTTGACCTACGCCGCGCCGCCGCGAATGAGG